ATCGCATATTATTAACAAAAAAGTAAATATGCATCAAATACACTGTAATATTTTTCCTTCAAGTTTTAAAAATATTTCGATAACAGTCAAAAGAACTAACAAAGTGTTGTCTAATGAACCAAGGGAAGTAATAACTAATATGGTTTTCAATTTCTCTTTCTCCTTTATTTCTTTTTCTTATTTTTGTTTTCTAATAAAAAAGTAACTAAAACTAACTTAAAACAACCAAAGAATAGCCATGCAAAAACCATCAGATAAGAAAAAAATCCGTCCGGAAGTGCATATCCTTTGATTCAGTGGTCGTCAACCTCTTCAATGTGTTGAGCTACTTTGTTAATTTTGGAATAACCAGCGAGCTACCCACACGAAAGCCACGTAACGCAACGTAAATGAAATAATCCACAGTTAATCTATCATTATATATATTTATTTTACTGTTTAACTGGTAATACATAATACATAGGTACTAATAATAAACTAATAACAAAATAACTAATATTACTAGTACGTACTTGTTCATAGCTACATTCCTACCTATCAAACGAAGGTATTTGAAAAATAAACACAATCTTTTATCTAGCCGCAACGGCATATCACGTATAATTTAAAAATAGTTAATAATAACAACAAAAAAGTAACGCACTATCATAAACATTGAAAAAATTTAAAAATAAAAAAGCACATTCAATGAGAAGGCTGACACTCAGACTCATCGATAATTTTTTTACCGTTTGTAGTATAATTTGATGCAGCCATTCGAATACAATTATACAAATGTTCATCTGTAAGTCGATTGCGATATTTGTTCTTAATAAACTTCATATTGGAAAAAGAAGGATTCACACAAATAGGTTGAACTGAATAATGCTTTCACTTTCAAGACAACACGGCATAGAACTGAATATTTGTCTTTACTGACAATAGGCCAGATACATTCAGTACTTGAGACTAACGATTTTAAGGCTAAATCATTTTGAAACTCAATGACTTCATAACACAAGCTGCAAACTGCTGCATATCAATTTCCATAAAGGGTGAAACAACAAACTGCGCTATTAAAGCCATTTCATTGAAATCCTTAAAACGATTTTTGAAGTTATTCTTCAGGGTAGAAATTATTTCTACATTATATTTATTGTCATGGGGTTCTAATGGATTTTGAGATAGTTTTTCTGAAAGAATAGGAAAATGCTTGGAATCGCTGTTAATTAGGTTTTGTTCCCAAAACTCCAGCTTTTTTATAAATGCTTTTATATCAGAAATCATTTCCGCTAGTTCTTTGTCTCTCCCCTGAAGCTGCAAATTAAGTTCGTTTAATTTCTTTGTAATGTCCACGAGAAAACCAAAATCTCTAAGCCAGATTGAATTTTCTAGTTCCGGAGTCGGTTCATCGCGTTGTTTGAAAAATTGAACTATTCCAGATAGGACATCCTCTGAAGTCCTCTACTTAACCATCGGACTTCAGAGTGAAGGAGTAGGTCCCCGTATTGACAGTCAACTTCATCAACCAAGGTTCTGAATAATCTTCTTTGTAACGCTTGAGCTCTAATCTTGTTCGCAATTTTTACCACCAATTTCATAACGTTGTTTAGTTTCAGGACATTTCCACATAATGCTTGCTGATGGATAATGCAGTGGTAAGAGAGAAATTGCGGAAAAGTTTCATCTTTACGACATAACGCCACCAGACCCTTATCACAACCCATCATAGCTGGAGCGCCATCGGTTGTCAAACCTACCATTTTCAATATTGGAATTTTCTCGGAAGAAATACTATTTTTTTAATGGCAAAACAACTCATGTCCAGTAGTGTGTCCTTTCAGTGGAATGAACTTCAAAAGATCTTCTTTAATTGCAAAACCTCTAAAAACCATCGTGACGAACACGGCCATCTGGGCAGTGTCAACGATATTTGTTGATTCATCCAGTTGAAGTGAAAAATAAACACAGTTATCTAAGTCAGTTCTTAACTGTAAAAAAATATCATTGCTCATTACTTCTACACGTCTCATCACTGTATTAGCAGAAAGTTGTATAGATTTTATAGCTGAAACTATCTCGTCTTTATTTCTAAAGTTGGCAAATAACGAATCAGCAGCTTCTAAAAACGCCCGTTTTATCATTTCCCCGTCTTCATAAGGTTTCTTTTTTTGTGCAATTATCTGGGACACACGGTACGATGCTTCAGTTGCATCCTTATTTTTGTCGACTGTTCTTAAAAATATTGATTATTGTCCAATTAACTGTTTTTTTAACTGTTTCCGTTTCTCCTTTCTGGTGGCAGAATGTAGTGGGAATGATTTTTCAAAATTAGAATGTACCGTTTTATGATGTCTCTCAATATTTCCTTTTTTAGCAACGGAGACCGAAGTATTACATAACAAACACATATTTTTATCTTTAACTTCAGTAAAAAAGTATTGTTCTTCCTATTCCGAATGAAAGTGGTATGTCTTTACCTTCTTACAACTGCTTGCCATAATATTATTTTTGTTGTTCTCTACTAACCCAACCGCTGGATGTTGGTTACGCTTTCAGTTTTAAACTAAGCGCAATGTCGCGGCGCCGTGCATATTTATCCCGTTCAAAGCAATCCAGATCGTTCTCGAACACTAACGCGCTGGTCCGGCTGGTCGGTTCTATAAATAGCCGATTCTAGCTTGACGGCGTCAGAGGCAGATCGCTCACCGCAACGTTGCCGCTGTTTATGTTTAATATTATGATAATTAGATTTTTTTGTGGAATTTTCGGAAGCTTCTCTGATTTTTGCAGTTTGTATTTTTTAAATTAAAATCGTTGTGAGAGCTACCAGAATTGCCTCCGCGAGCTACCGGTAGCTCGCGATCGACAGGTTGGCGACCACTGCTTTAGTTAATCCTTAGTTCCTTTTTTTTCCTCCAGGAGGCTTCTATTTGTGAAGTTTTTGGGGCCAGCGTTCGTCAGGTATTCTTAATAGGTGTCCAAACCATTTTGAATCTCTTCTTTCTATTCTGTCAATAACCGTTTTTGTAGCATTCATGTTATTTCTTATAGATTCGTTGGTCTTCCTTTCCTGCCTTGATGTTCTAGTACTTCTTCTCAAATAATCCATTTCAACTGCCAATAATCTTCTCTTAAGGTCTGCATTAATTGTCCATACTTCAGAGCCATAACAAAGAAGTGATTCAACCATGGTTTGCCATATTCTTTTTTTATTCCTTTTGGAAATGTTGCGATCCCACCTTAAGGAGTTCAGACATCCTACAATTTTATGTACCTAATTAATTTCGGTTTCTCCCAAGCCATTCTTAGCAATGAGTGCACCTAAATATTTAAATTTTTTCACTTGTTTGATTTCCACGTCCTCGTCTATCAACACTTCTAACCTTGCATGTGAATTAATAACTTAATAGGTATTCTGTTTTCTTCATGCTGACTTGTAACCCCCATTTTACGTATTCTCTGTATAGACGCTTTATCATAAATTCTAGATCATAAGAATCTTGATAGGAAGACTTGGTCATCCGCAAAGTTCAGGGAGAACAGTACGTCATTTCCTATGGGGATTTCCATTCCCTGGCGGTGGTTTTTCCAATTTTGGAGGGCTGCCTCAATACTGCATCCTTGTTTTAGTCCTTTAGTTACTTTTATTGGCTCTCATAGTGTATTTTCGATTTTTAGGTAAGTGTTATCCCTGTATACTTCTGTGATTATTTCTAAAAGGTATGGACTAATGTCGAGTTCATGTAAAGCTTGTCACAATTTAAGTCTTGGAACTGTATCATACGCCTTTTCTAGGTCGATGAAGGCTAAATGTACTTCGGTACCAACCGCTATTCTTTTTTCTATTACTTGTTTTAGTATAAACAACTTATCAGTGCAAGATCAAAGATTCAAACGTCAATAAATTTATTTTAACCTTCAATTGCGGCTTATTCCCATTAAAATAGTAATTAGATCTTATCTCTGTCGTTGGCCCGGTTTGGATGTTTCTCTTCTTTCTTTTTAATGACGGCTCGGGTGTAATTTTAAACACTATTCAATCCTTCCGTACTTACAGTCACAGAGTTCATAACCTATTCGTTTATACATTCTGTTTCTCCCCACTCTACATCTATTACACTCCAGCATTGTATGAGTAACAATGTCTACTTTTGTCATAACCCTAATATTAGGCATATATATCTAAATATAATGAAAAATACTATTAATTATTGTGTAGAATTATTGAAGACTTCATTCACACTTATTCCTTCCTGTTTTTTTTGAAGGGCAGCAGCCATGTCTTACTGTTCTTTTAATATTAAGAGTCTGTGTGTCCATTCCGTATACTAAATCTGATGATTTATTCCAATACAAATTTATATGAGAATGTATCTGCCATCCAAACCACTTAGAGCTTCGATCAATATAAAAGTCAATAAAACAGCAGTACATGTATATAGAATATTCACTCGCATTTATATAGATATGGTTATTAGGAAAATTTTCAATAAATGACTCAACAAATTGTCAGTTTTATAATCAGCACAGGTTTTTGCTTTTATCTGTTTAGGTAGAACTATAAGCAATTAACCAACTATTAGGTAGGTGCCCGCTGGTATAAATGGTATTACAAAATTAAATTATAGCTTCTGAAACTTTGCTATCAGTTATAAGATTGTAATTCTATGAGAAATTAGAAAAAGCCTATAGACAGTATCCCAATAACGACATTAAGTTTATTGTTGGGGACATGAACTCCAAGATAGAACAAGAAGAAATCTACAGGCAAACCATAGGACATTATAGCATACACAAAGAATGCAATGATAATGGGACGAGACTTACATGGATTAAATATACTAGACTATAGAAGTTATAGAAGTTTGGTATATTTACACCGTTAAGATACTATACGAATATGAATAAAAAAATGCAAGATATAATAACTGTTTATGATAAAATACAATGGACATCGAAATAGTGCGTAATATCATTGATTTAACTCTATGGTGATAAATTATGTTAAATCTAATTACCTTTCAGTGTTCATTTCATCTTCCAAGTTTTCGCCACTATGGTATCTGCTAACTATAGACATAGCATCAAAATCACTTTGAGATTCTGAATCAGTATCACATTGATAAATTTTGTTTTCATATATAAAAGGTTTGCAATTTTGAGGTTTAACACTGTTTTGAGAATATCCATCAAGTACTGCTTTTGATGAATCATTAATGCCATTTCCGTAGGTTATAACCAGAGGTGTTTCTTTCGTTTTTTCTTTATTGCTAAAATAAACTGTGGAAGAAGAAGATTCTGGAAGCAATGGTGTATTTTGTGTGGGACTTTGTAGCAAAAGACTAACATTGTTTTTACCAGAAGACATACTAAAAAAGAAAAAAAAAATGTTATTTGTTTGCTTAAGGACTACAAATTGGTATTTAGTATAAATAATGTAAAAGAACATAATTAAATATCTTGTATATGTCTCTATAATGTGGTGGTGTACCGTCTTTCATAAACCACATATTTCGCCTTAAGTTTGATGATAATTCTTCCAATAAATCAAAAAATAAATTTATAAAAAATGTAAAAAATTAAAGTTAAAATTACCAATGGTTCCAAACCATACGTTTATTTAAAATTCATGTTTAAAATGCATATCGTATGGTTTGGTACCATTTGTAATGATGAGATTTATTTACATTTTTTATAAAATGATGTTATTGATAGAGAGAGGACAGTGAGAACATAATTAAATACAACCTTCCTGAACGTTGGATGTTCATGGTAGTCATATTCCTTGGTCATGTGGTGAGATACTAATATAATTATTCAATTCATAAAAATCCCAAACGAATACTTTATTATTATATTATATTTATTATATATTGTACTTATAATACTTATAAATACTGCAACAGTTTCTTTAGAACCAATGATGACATTTAATATGAGACGATCTTTTATGGATTAAAGAAAACAAATGAATTAAAGAAAATGGTGGACATATCCAGCACTTACTTTGACAAAAAGTTTAATGTTATTTAGTTTAACTATTTCTTAATTTGGTTTATAAATATAATATTTTGATTATGACTTTAAATTAATACAAAACGTAAAATGTTTGATGTAAAATCCAATCATTCTGTTATTTTGTCAAATGATATTGCAAATTATCCTACTGATATATTTATTTTATTTATTATTTCGTTAACTATTAACTTTATTTAAGCCATTTTATACTAAAATTCAGAATTATGGATGTGTTTGTCTAATTTTCTTTCATTGGCTGGAGTAATTGCGTTAAATCTGAATTATGCAGTTGATTTGTAAAGTGCAATTATCTCGAAAACTGTTGAATTTTGAAGTTATTAACAAGTATACCTTTTTTTTTAAATAATGTATCTTTAATCTTTAATATTTTTATCACAAACACCAGTAACTTAAAGAGCAATAAAGTTAAGTGCAAATGTATGCCACATATATGGCGCCCTCTATCAGCTACATTAAAGTATGCATTAACTTATAATTTGTGATGTTCAATACTACCAGTTATAAATTTTTATACATAAATGTTTAAAAACATGAAAGTTATAGCGAAAATTAAACTTCAACTTTAACACTGTGTATATTTCGTAATATCAACATTTTATTTAAGCAATTTGGCTTAAATCGTAATATTTTAAAGTGTGGAATCTACAGTAAATGGTTTTTGAGTTTAATGGTTTTTATATGAAAATTACACTTTTCTACCATGTATATAAAGTTCAATATCCTCTAATGTAATTTAAATAAAAGTTTAAATTCCTTAGGAACTTATTAACCACATACAGCATTATCGTTTACAGTGTGAAGTTGCCTTTTCATTATACAGTGTGCTGTCAAAATTGGCATAAAACCAACATCCTAAATTTTCGCCTAATTCCTTTTTTCAAATGTGACACCCTGTTTCTGATTCATTATTTTAGAAAAATATGTTTTTCACTAATGATCTGTATTGACATTCCCTATACCTATCTGTTGCAGTTTTCAAATAAATGGACTTTTATACATTTTTGTAACAAAAAATTTATTTATCAAGTAGCTTATGGAATATTCTGACAAAAATGTCAGTTATTGCTAATGTTTAATAGTAATCTTATTTTTGTATACATACATGATGCTGTATGTGGTTAATAAGTTCTGAGTAATTTAAACTTTTATACAAATTACATACATTAAAGGAAATTTTAATTTGTAATTGTAGAAAAGTGTAATTTTCATATAAAAACTGTTATAATTCAAAAACGGTTCACAATAGGTGTATGAAAGTATTAAAAAAATGTTCAGAATAAAGTAAATATTTCTAAAATTAAAAAATACACAAGGAGTCCCATTAAAAAAAGAAGTTATAAGCAACTTCCGGTATAACCGAAAGTAACAAATAGATGAAAATATTTTCATTAAATAGCTGAGTAGCTATCAAAAAGTGCTCATAGACACTTTGTCTCACGACTAGCAACCTCCAGTGGAGTCTTATGTTGCCATGTTATCTATCCTGTTGTAACTTAAACATCCTAGTATATAAAATCAAACAATGTAACTTAAAATTTTTACCCATAAATGGCTCTGACCCCATCTCATTTTTTGGTAAATTTGCTTGATCATCACTTTAGTGGAAATAAAGTTAGCTAAGAGCAAATAGAAACTGGCATGGAATATGTAGAAACTTATCATCCAAAAGCATTGCCAATTATTATTAATTATCAGGCAAGTGTGTATCCTTTAAACCATATATGTTTTCTAAACATCTAATTGAGAAAGTAATACCGTGGACATGTTGGCATTCTATGAAATATATAAATACTACAGCATTGGAACTTGCCTGAAAACATCACACAGCTATTGCATTGTCAGCGAACATAGAAAGACTCTTCTCATCATAGAGTTTAGTTCATAACCATGTAACTGGCGAGGCAATGTCAAAACATCTAAGTTGGTTTCAATTTTTAAAGAGCTTAATTTCATCACATCACAGACGACATGACTGATCAGATACCAAATTGATGACTTGGATTATAAGATAACTATGAGACTGAAACAGTTTGAGAAATTTATTAACTCTTGTATGCAAAATGCTTAAAGTTTTCCAATCCTGCTGTGTTCCTAAAATGGTTGTTTATTTTAAGTGTTTTAAACATAAACAAATGTTAAAACTGTTAATCAAAACAAAATGTTCAAAATGAAACAACTCTGATCACCAAGAGGTGAAAATACAAAATATATTTTTAGTGGGGAGGGGATAGATAAAACAAATGGGATTATTATATTGGATGTTGCCTAATTTCTATTTGAATAATGGCAAACAGAAGAAATATTGAAAAATACTATTTAATTTATTGTCTATTAGCTACTATCTGTCTCTAGTCCATTCCCTCAGCTTGGGAATATTTTGGAAGATTCTTTGTTAGAAACATATAACACGAAAAATTCTATAATTGGTTCATGAGTGCAATCCCAACTGTCTAATAAATTTAGTAATTATTTTTTCATATGTTCGTTAAATTTTTATGAGTAGCAGTGGCCGGAAATTACTATACAATCAACCTTATGCACTCATAGCCAATATTTAAACAAAACAATGTTCACATGCAGTTATTAACATGCAGTTATGAACACAATAAAATTGTACCAATTAAACAAAACCTATTTTCATTATACAGTGTGCTGTCAAAATTGGCATAAAACCTACATCCTAAATTTTCGCCTAATTCCTTTTTTCAAATGTGACACCCTGTTTCTGATTCATTATTTTAGAAAAATATGTTTTTCACTATCGATCTGTATTGGCATTCCCTATACCTATCTGTTGCAGTTTTCAAATAAATGAAATTTTATACATTTTTGTAACAAAAGTTTATTTATCAAGTAGCTTATGGAATATTCTGACAAAAATGTGTTCCTAAAATGCTTGTTTATTTTAAGTGTTTCAAACAAGTTTTAAACTGTTTTAAACATAAACAAATGTTAAAACAGCTAATCAAAACAAAATGTTCAAAATGAAACAACTCTGATCACCAAGAGGTGAAAATACAAAATATACAAAATATATTTTTAGTGGGGAGGGGATAGATAAAACAAATGGGATTATTATATTGGATGTTGCCTAATTTCTATTTGAATAATGGCAAACAGAAGAAATATTAAAAAACACTATTTAATTTATTGTCTATTAGCTACTATCTGTCTCTAGTCCATCCACTCAGCTTGGAAATATTTTGGAAGATTCTTTGTTAGAAACATACAACACGAAAAATTCTATAATTGGTTCATGAGTGCAATCCCAACTGTCTAATAAATTTAGTAATTATTTTTTCATATGTTCGTTAAATTTTTATGAGTAGCAGTGGCCAGAAATTACTATACAATCAACCTTATGCACTCATAGCCAATATTTAAACAAAACAATGTTCACATGCAGTTATTAACATGCAGTTATGAACACAATAAAATTGTACCAATTAAAAAAAACCTATTTTTGAAATTTTACAGCTGTTTATAGATTGATATTTACAAATGGAGAGTTTTCAATGAACATTAATTAATATACAGTCCCATTATTAATGATTATTCTACTTTTTCCAATGAAAGAAGTTGCAGACTTATTTCATTGCAAAAAGAAAACTGGAGAAAAATCATAAAAATGATATAAAAATATTATATTTGTACATACAAATCATGATCAAAGAAAGAAAAGCACAATACTTGGGTGGTGCATTGAGAGGGGAAAGATGTTAATTACTATTAATCATATTGGAAGGTAATCTTTCATGCAGTAGTTTCCAAAGCTACAATCACCAAGCTTCTAAAGGAGATGGCACAATAAGAACTACTAATCTATAAACGGCTAAACAATTTCAAAAATAAATATTTATGTATACATTTAATGTGTTAATAATGTGTATGTCTAAGTTACAATTAATATTGGTTATGAAGTTGAATCTTCACTTCCAGCCACTTCCAGTTGAAATCCAAATTTAACCAATATAGCAAAAAATAATTACTAAATTTACTAGGCAGTTGGAGACAGGGACCAGTAAACCAAGTAAATATGCCTACTTATTATAAATATATATATATATATATATATATATATATATATATATATATAAATATATATATATATATATATATATATATATATATATATATATATTATATATATATATATATATATATCCACAGATAAAAAATGTGAAAAACGATAAATCAAAATGTATTAACACTTTCAAAATTACATTTTTATACAATAATATAAAACATAATTTGTTAAAACCGATTTGGAATGAACAATTTGAGTTTACACAACACATTTTAAAACAATTAGCTATTTAATGTAGGTACTCACAGGTAATTTAATTTTGTAAGAAAAAGTCCCAACTAGAGTGATAATAAATATAAATTATAGACAAAAAATTATTGTTTACCCAACGAATCAACAAAATTAGTTTTAGTATTAAAAAAAAGATGAGCCACAACATTTGTCCTTTTCAGACAAAATAAGAATAAAATGGATATTTATGTAAATATGAATCATTGTTTTCGCCAACAATGAATATTTACATAACGTTAATTATAATTTACTTGGAAAAAGTGTAAACCATAAACTGCTTTTAAGCATACCGCTAAAATTATCGCTGACCGAAAATAACTCAATCCTACTTATTTTTGAACTTTACACCAGGAACCAAAATAAAAAACAATTATTTAATTAAAAAACGACTAAGAATACTTACCCACTTAAATTAAAAATAAGTTAATTCAATTTGGATTGTTCTAATCACAGATAATATTGAAAGTTTCAGTTATTCATATTTTAATTTTGAATTTTCATTTTTTTGCTACAGCTGTAATCCAAAATAAATCTCAGGTGATACAGAAAGTGACAGTTACAGGTTATAGCTACAACGACGGACCTAATCTTTATAATGTTGACCTACTCCAATTTTGAACTACTTAGTTTATTGATCATTTTGAACTACTAACATTTGGCTATGCTGTTTTGATCAAGAAGTCTTTTATATAAAATTGTTTATGCTACTTAGTAATATTTCTACTCGATAAAAGATGGCAGGATCGATCTCGGAATCTCCGTTTTTTATCTTTATATAAATTTAAATAATTAAATTTTTAAATAATAATAAAATTATAATTAATTTACGTAAGTGTTTAAATATAAAAATAAATAAATAAAAGGTTAACACTTTTGTGAATTTATTTTACATTGATTTGAATTTTTACTCATACTCTAATATAATATTAAAATATTAGTCAAGGGACAATTAAGATAAAAAATTATGAGTGACAATTTAAATTATTCTAATAAAAACGAAAAAAAAACTAATGATCAAATTAATGACTTAATAATAAAATAACAATAATTCATACAAAAGTGAATGTCTAAACTAAAACAAGGTGGGTGGCTCACTTACGGCCTGGACATCCAAGCCAAAAATTGTAAATACGAAAATAAATATATTATAAATATAGGGGATAATCGGCTATCGGTGCGTACCTAAGGCCAATTGGGGATATTGTAAAAACTTAAACTTCAGTTTCCAATTTTTTTGAAGATATACTTCAAGGGCCTAGGTATATTGGTAATGAGCGCATTCAATGAATATTTGAGCAGTAGAACAGTGAGAGGTGAAATTTAGAATTAGTATAACGCGCACAATTACTCGACCTATTTGGATAATGGTACACATATGTCGGATAACTGTGCGCAATAATAAAACTTAAAAATGACCATCGAAAATGTAGTTTATTGAACATAGATATTAAAGGCATAAACAAATATACCGAAAAAGATAAGCAACCAATTTAAAAATAGATTAAAAAAAAGCATCGAAGAAGTCACAAATATATCCTTCTAGACTATCTCCTCCTGTACACATGGCATGAGCCCATTGACAACGTTTTGCTACCTATACCTATCGTCTTTTTTGCTACCTTCAGCACATAATACACAGTCAGTCAAAGTCATTTTCATCTAACACAAGATCGTCCAACTCAGCATCATCGTACAGTTCACGCTGCTGGATGTATTTGGAACTGCAGCATCATTATTTTTTGTATTAGAGACTTGAGTGTCGTAGTCGCTGGAAGGGGTGGACGAAAGCGGTTCGTCATCAACTACAACAAGAAAATGACAAGTTGCGGCTAAAAGGTCATCATCTGTGAATTTATCTTTTTGAAAAGGGCAGATGCCAGCAGACTTTTTGCATTGCCAGCTTTGTGCATTGTACCAGTATGCACGTATGCTTTATTAAATATCTCGGCTAAATCATATTGAGTTGTCCTCTCTGCTGTCAATAGGTGATAGTCGCAATACCTGTGGAATGCTGATTAGAGCAGACCAAAAAAGTTATATTAAATGGTTGGAAATTGTGTGAAGTGTTAGGAGGTATTGTTAAAAGAGAATTCCGTGGTCTCTACAGTAAATAAATATAGGAAGAGAGATGTGACTGGAGTGATTATCCAAAATTAAAATGACTGGATCATATTTCGACAGTTTTACGGTATTTTTGAAATGCTGAAGCCATTCATAAAAAGTTCATTGTTTAATTTAAAAATTTAAAAAAGAATAAATATATTTGGATAGACCATTTTTTGTTAATGCGTCTGTCATTCAAATCATTGGGACGATAAACATTGGTGGAATGTAATAGGTGCCTGATGCGTTAAAGCACTTAATAATTGTGACAGCCTTCCCTCTTTCATCGGATGTTTTCCCGCCAAACTGTTTGACACCTTTAGTTGCCAGTTTTTTGCAAGGCTTTTGTATGGTGGTAATTCCAAAATTAAAATGACTGGATCATATTTCGACAGTTTTACGGTATTTTTGAAATGCTGAAGCCATTCATAAAAAGTTCATTGTTTAATTTAAAAATTTAAAAAAGAATAAATATATTTGGATAGACCATTTTTTGTTAATGCGTCTGTCATTCAAATCATTGGGACGATAAACATTGGTGGAATGTAATAGGTGCCTGATGCGTTAAAGCACTTAATAATTGTGACAGCCTTCCCTCTTTCATCGGATGTTTTTCCGCCAAACTGTTTGACACCTTTAGTTGCCAGTTTTTTGCAAGGCTTTTGTATGGTGGTAATTCCGCTCTAGTTAACGTTAAAAATTCGATCTTCCTTGAAGTTAAATTTCGTGTAGAATTGTTGCAAATTATTAAAAAATATGATAAGTTGCTCTTTATTAAAAGCCAAAATCCTATTTATGCTGGTGAGCTCAGGTTTTCTTAGAGAAATTTCTGGATGTCTCTTTAGAAAGCCATATTACCAGTCTTAGCCTGCCATTTGTGTCTCAGCATTAAAATTATGTTTAATATGACTAGCATTCACAAATGATAATGCAAGTCTTCCCAGCTGCTTTCTGGTCAACCCATGAATTAATTTCGCCATTTTTCAAACGTGCTCTATTAATTGTTTTTCTTGATCGAGGAGAAAGATGCAATGCTTCCCAACATGAGGATTTACGATGACACGTCCATCATCAACATATTTCTTATATTTTCGAATAGAAGATTCTGGAATATTAAATCTTTTTCCAGCTTCGCGTATTTTACCACCATTTTTAGAGAGGTTTAGAGCCATGCTCATAGTTTCAGCATCCCAGGTCGCCTTTGCGATTTTTCGTTGATATTTTTGCATCCAGAAAATAATGGATGTTCTAAATAAAACATGTTATATGAACATTTAGACTTATTTTGTTGCAGAATGATATGCTGCTTGATTGAAAAATCTGTATTCAATTTCATTGACAGAACTTATGACAATCACAAAACGTAACAAAATGCTTTTTTGTGCTTCTTTATCGTAGATTTGCTCAATAATTAAAATTTTTCATCCAAGAACCGGTGAATTGCATTTCATAGTATAGCAACAATTAACAATGCCAGGTTTAATGCATTTTTGTGCTCAGGATTTCTATGTTAATTTAATGTCTCATGTATTTGTAAGTATAATATAGAACACTATCAATAGTTATGAATAATTATGTTATGTTTACTGGTAATAAATTGTTGTCTTTAACTAGTTTATCTTTACACAGCTCTTTTCTTCAAATAAATCTCGCATAAATAAAGTTATGATTATTATTTCTCCTAATTATTAGTTGGTGGTCTATTGTTTCAAAAGTCTTCAACAGTTGTTTTTCATTATTTTCGTACATATATATTAATCAAAAACGACCAAGGTCCCCATAAATTAAAAAATAAATAATGAGGCATGATGAAAACTTTTAAATTTTATTGTGTTGCGTTTTACTTCCAGAATTTAAAAAAAGTTTCTAAACGTTTATCGGAAGATAATTTTATTGTTTATACGGGTACTATTAATTAAGTACTTTTCCGATTAGTTTTATTGATTTTTCGAAAGCCTTTAAGAGTTTAACAACCTTTCATTGAAACTAGGACGTTTTGTAAGAATAATTAATATTGTAAGCAGTCATTATATGTTTTTAAATATTTTGATAGTATTTTTTATGCAAACTAAACTAATTCTGATTATGGCGTTTGACGCAGCTCAGAAAACTTGTGTCGATTGTTTTGCTATCACAAGTTTTTTAGCTAAAATGTTTCTTCTTGGAGACTCATTTTGATCTTTCGTTTAATTTCGAATTCGATTTTTGTCGAATTGCACTTTGCTTTACTTCGAATGACTTACAGCAGAGTTGGGATTAAAAAATAATACTCTATACCCTTTCTTACATACGTTTTATAAAGGTTAATAACATCTTTTATAAAAAAAATTCCTCCAATTTAGATATGTTAATATATTCTTTGCATATTCAACCTTTTATATAAACTCCTAGGCAAAATTGTCATACTGCTAACTTAATGATATTTATTATTACACTGTCTTAAAAGTAGATTTTAGATTTCATTTGACGTTTCAATTATATGCTGTTTTGTCTTGGTACATCGTTTTAGGGGTTTATAAGTCATGCTCTAGACTTATTCCTTCCTGACCTTTTATAAATAGAAGTAATACAAATCTTAACGGATGAGAATCTGAGTTAAGTAGGTCCTTTTCAGTAGAGATAATATAGCAGTAGCCCTTAAAGCTTTGGACGTGGATAATTGAATGGAGATTACTCAAGACAGGGGGGAATGGAGGCAAATTGTCAAGTAGACTAAAACCCACGAAGGGTTGTAACGCGACTAAGTCAGTAAATACTGAAAACCCTAAGACACATGAAAATACAAGTATACGAATTACCAAAGTTATTACCAGCACGAGCCCAAACCCTAAAGAATATTTAAAAAAATCTGATTGATGATAAACCTGCTTCTACTGTGTGCCTTCTACTCTGTGCCTGAGATGAATAGACTTCTACAGGAACTCAAAAACTTTCCCAGCATCATTATTTAATGATATCATTTTGAATTTATTTAAGATGCGACGTAAAACTTGTTTGGCTTTTTTTTTCTTTTTTTCTACATCTTTTATTACATCTTTAATTAACTGTTATACAAGTCCTTTGGACTTTGATAGACCAGCTATATATAAGCTCTCTGCTAACATCCGATAGACCTTTTATTTGCCACTGATATAATCTCTAAAAAACCAAATACATGGTTATAAGCAAAAATAGGACACCACCTAGTTAATTACTAGTTAACCAACAATCTATAATACAAATTACCAACTTTTGTTATCTGGGTGTAAACTCAAATAAACAGTGGGACCAATCGACGGAAATTAAGATGAGGAAAATTTTTTGGCTTTCGCCAAAATGAAAAAAAAAAATCTTTAACAGCCACGATATAAAATTGGAAATAAGAGTTCGTCTACTAAAATGCTACGTATTCTCCGTTCTTTTATATGACGTGGAGTCATGGACCTTAACTGAAGCATCACT